TCATGAACTTCATACTGAAAGTATCGGGGACTCACAGTCCGTCTGGTCGATCATCCGAAAGGTTAGATTTTATCGAATAGGTGTTCCGAACGCCGCGGGTTCAAACTCCAACTCCAGATGACCCCGTGCCGTGATGATTTGCCCAGAATTGTGGAATGCAATCTGGCACTTCCTGTGCTCTTCGATGAATGGAACGAAGCTTTGGATGCATTTCACAAAAGTTTTGAATAAACCCGAGAACTTAACCCCTATGTCCGAAACCTATCCAAACCTTCACTCAGCTGGGAGTCCTACACAATACTGTATGCGGATCGAAGAGACTAGGTTAGTAAGAGTTACCAACGGAACCACATGATGGTATCCATATATTGACACCAGCTTACGAAATGAAATGGTTAGCGATCGAAGGAAGATAAAATGAAATTTATTGTTCATGAATAACCAGTATCAGTGCATAACCGAATCACCAAGATCTTCTGGCCAATTAATTAAGAATTAGCTCGGTTTTATCAAATATTTTAATCTTCTCAGGAACGGAGTGGGGGGGGTGTGGGATTCGAATCAGATACGTAGAACAAAAGTCGACCATACACGTGATCTTCGGTTCGCGTCGTTTTTTATTCATACAATAAGTGGAACAGGTACATTTTCAAAAGGATTTTGTCACAAACAGGCGAACGAGAAAAAGCCATTCTCTCTCATTCGTTTAGTCAGGCTAGGTTGTACCGTAGATAATACCTAAGCACAAAACAAAATCGGTCTCATAGAAGGAATTCGTCGTGTATATGAAACCGGAACTGAAAAGCTAGGAAGCAATGCTGTGCAACTGTTTCGATCTCGGTTGGGTCTCATCCGTGCACTGCGCGAGATCATCGACTCCCGACTGGGGGTAGGGTCGAATCCAGGACCTCACGGGCAGAACGCAAGTATGCTACCCACTGGACCACCGGGCAAAAACCGGTTCCATCAGTTGTTCGGTGTTCACGTCGGGTGGTATTCCAACATTCGACTCGTACTGTGGAATCTCGGATTGGATGATCAGTCGAATCGATGCATGCACACTGGTGAGGCGATGTAATCAGGTTGAATCAGCTGCCCATTCCTACCGAACTTTTCACATTTCACACTGCATTTGCTTTGTACAATTCGACGATGATTATAATGATGATCATTCCACACAATTGAACCCACCTTCATGCAAGGGTTTTAGTCAAATTTAGTTACTAGTACTAAACAATATTTCTTTCACAGATTATCACCTGCATTCTGCGAGTCAGTGAAAGTGGAATGTGTTATGATAGGAAGAGTCTATTCAAGTTCTTACAGATACACACTAGTGTGTGTGTGGTTTGGTTTTTTTCGGAAGTTAGAGGGGAGGGGAGCTACACCCTAGAATCCGGGTCAGTCATTGTCTCTGTCAAATACCTGTCAGATTGCATGTGCTAATCTAAATATAACTTTGCAAATTAATGTAGTCAATCGATCAAATGTTGGATGTCGATAGTGTGTGTCAGTGTGCGAATCCACGACTAGAGTATTGCTAATGAATCCAAACAAGAGTGAAACCGTTATTCATCGTTCTTGATCAGATCTCACTAGAAATTCATCATCAACTCTACCCNAGCTGAAATCTCAGTTTCACTGTTGCAGATACACTCCGTAATTGAAAAAAACTACAATTTACCTCTCTATAAGTAAGCGGTTATTTTGAACTCAGCACCAATAAAACTGTGAGATCAAAGTGGACCTTTTAAAATATAACCGCTTCTAGGTCTTTGGATCACCGGCCTATGTATAATGAGGTAAATTGCTCACTGAACGGGATGTAAAAACGTGATCATCTCGGCCGGTTCAAAGACCAAAGAGTAATAACCAAATATCTTGCTGATCGCTACGTAGATTGGGAGAGGAAATGTATGCCACTGACGAATATGACCACATCGATTACACAGATAAGTCATTACCCATTTTCCTACGAGTGACTGGGTTGAAAGCAGTAGTATTGTTCACAGTTTTGATGACATCAGAGGAGAACAAAGGTACTGTTGTGTCATATATATCCACCACTAAAAGAGACCGAATATCGCACAGTAGAACTTCAGAAAATGCAATACCAATATTATATTTTCTTGTTTCAACAGAAAACCCGGATGCTACTCTGTCTTCCTTTCTCTCTCTCGTATCTGAATGTCGTAATATTTTGTCAGAATACTTGTCTATAGTATTGGACTGCGATACAACACTCTCCGCAGTGTGATGACCAGTAAACGGTATGGAACCCCGTGTAGTCATGGAAACCGGTAACCTAATCCCGGGGACTTGGAGTGACGAACCACATAAGGCTTGGTATTGAACCGGACGACCGTAAAGCTGCCTACCACCAAAATTGGGTGACAATGGCGGCCAAGTTCGAACTTCAGACTATAGGATTCATGCTGAAGCAGTGACATAAAAACAGTTCATCGTTCAGGAGAAACCTTCTCATATAGACTGCGAAGATAAGATCTAAAGGAACTGAAATAGTAACGTTCTTGATTTCGATTAATTCATCCATTGTACATCGCACAGATGCGGACTACTCTAACTACTACTATCACTGAGATTGGTTCATAACACTCAATTAAATACCGCGTTCAATCAATGCTATGAGACTATACCTTTTTCAGTTTAAGATGTCCGAAATCCTATTTAAGATGTCATGTTGCTTTGTTTTCACTCTGTACTGTGCAAGGTACTATCAACATAGCAATATGACATCTTAAATTTGATTTCGGACATCCTAAACTGAAAAAGGTATAGATATTGCTGTTTCCAAAACCATGAACCAAACTACCGAACCTGGGTGTTGTACCAGATCAGATCAGTCCTAACTGTCTACAGCTTTGCCCATCGATTGCCACTCAAACTTTCTTCAAAAACCTCACGACCGATCTACCCCGTACCCGTCTTGGCAATCCTTTCAATCGAAAATCAAGCTCTTTACACTTATCCCATATTCGTTATCTTTCAACTCTAATCGGCTGTAGTCAAGCTAAGTTCAAGGTCACATATGTAAACTTATTCGATGTTATTTTATCTCACAATCTATGATGGTTCATACATGTTGAGAGTATCTTTATAAAATTTACTGAGTCTTTCTTTTGCTGCGATGGAAATGTTTGTGATAACCGACAAAGAGCACCGGAACAGCTGTTTCGTCCTGTGATTGGGACTCGTCAGCAGTGCGTACTTTTTGTGTCCGTCAGACAGGACTCGAACCGCGAACCTCCGGGTTGGGACTTCAAACCCTTACCCATGAGCTACGTGGTCGACGCTTATCACCTTTTGCGAATAGCTCAATCAACAGTGCCTCGTGCCTGTGAAAAAACCGAGTGAACTAATCCAAACATTCAACATCTCAAGTTCTCCTTTCATACTTACGGTCTTCAGAGAAATTTGATATTCCTCAATGATTTTGTTAGGTGAAGTTGTCGTTATCTCCATCGATTGTATTGCTCCCCTATCAAATTTCCGGGCCTGGACGATAAACAGTTCACGGTCTTTATCAGGTCCTAGCAACTCTCATCCACTTCTGGCGGTACATCTTTTCGATGTCTGTGGGTGTAAGTAGTTTATCGGACATCTTTAGTCTACCCCCGACCACTGTTTACTCAATGAATCAAACACTCAAAACGGTCTCTCTAATTCCCCTGCCTATTCCCAATTCAAAATTCTCCCAGAACACAAATCCACATACCACAAGAGTAGTATACCCTATTCGGGATGCAGTTTACACTGAATCACATACCGATTATTGCTAATCAACTGTATCATTTTGTTAACAAACGGTTTTCTCGTCCCGAAATTGTACTGTGTGAACCACGCTGCAAACGTTCAAATCCTGTTTGAGTAAACCAGGAAAAATAACCGGGGGACAGTAGAGTAAGATGGGGAAAACACATTGATAAACAAAGGTAGAAATAACCGACTGGGATGCGCGAAACTGCCTGAGCTTTCGTATTTGAAATGATAGGCACAGCAGTTTACTAATGCAGTTGTGGATGTGGGTTGACCAATGAAGATTGCTATCTGTGGTTACACCAACATATTTGACAGAGTTCACTCTGGTTAAAGGATTGTTATTACTCACTGTGGGGTCTGTCGGATATCGAGAGAGCGAGCAAAACTATATAAACACTCAACACATTCACTGGGGTTCAGTGTTAGCCCCGATGAGGAGAAGAATGACTGAATTTAATCAAGATTGCCGGTGAAGGAGCTTAGATTAGAGTAAGAAGAAATGAGCCGGCACAACACGATTTCATCTGCATATTTCAAAATTCGTGCGGGAGAAACACAGGGAATACCACAAATATAAGTGGAAAATAAGTATGGGGATAGCATAGCTCCTTGAAGAACCCCGGAGTTGTTGACTAAGGGTTTAGATGAAGACTTTGTAAATAGGGTATATGGTTTTAATTTTGACATGAAACGTGATACTTCAGTGAATCAATTCAAATAGTACGGCATACAAAGTGATATATGCTTCACTGGAACTATCAATTGATAACAATCCCGGTGAACTCTATCCGGGCATAATGTTCAGTGCGATCTCCCCAATAACTTTCGTTCCCGCATCGATGAATATTTATCGGCAAACACCTAATTGTATTCATGCTTTGCCGAGTGATATCACCGTAAATTGTTTTCTCCCGTACCACACTTACCAAAATTCGTTCATTACCGTTCGTCACGATTGCCCAGTATTTTGCTCAATTCAAACCTGAAGATGGGGTATTTCGAAATTAAAATCAGTGTACTTATACCGTAACAATTGCCCGGATTCACTTGCGAGCAGCTAATACCCAGACAAAAACACACCCGTTACAGCAATCAATCCCACACACGCAATAAGTATACAATAACGTCCACAGATACTTACTTTTCCATAATAAACCGATAGATCCCGCTAAGTGTGGCTCGTTTATCAGGCTGTGCACTGATCGCCATGGTGATTAAAGCGATATAGGAATACGGCGGTTTGACCAAACTGTCACAAGACCCAGTTCCGACCGGGCCTCGAGTTGTGGAACTGTTCATCATCATCATCATTGTCGTCGTGTCTCCGGGCGGCCCGGATGCGGACGCGGACGCAGACGAGGAGGCGGATACAGATCCTGATGTGGATAGTGCGAATCCCGGATCCGAGGTTTGCATCATCTGTGCCAAGAACATATTCGTATCCGATCCAGGCCTGATCGAGATCGAGGCGGAATAGGCTGCGGCAGCCATTAGATCACACGCAGTTGGACTTGACAATCCGAGCGGTAGACGCGAGGCGAATGGAACAATCATGGAAGACACATCATGCGAGTGATATCCACCACCATGTCCCGGTGGATGGGACAGATGTGCGCAGTTTTGGAGTCCCGGTGTACCAGATCCCGGCGGATCACTAATCACGTCAATACAACCGGATTGGAACGCATCATCTGCGCCGAACAAACTACTCATTGGGGTTGGATATTTGTAACCGGGGAATGGAGCCAAATTATGCATATGTGTCGTATACAATCGATACGTGTGATCTGCAAGTTCATTTGCGCTGAGGTTTGGCATTTCAGAACTGACCAGTGGACCTCGTTGATGTTGTTGTTGTTGTTGTTGTTGATGATGATGATCGTCGACGTGGTACGAATTTTTCAAACCGCGGACCGATGTGCCGCCCGGTTCCATGTGTGTGATGCTACCGGGATCGGACAATCGGGTCGGAACCGGTCTATCGTCAGAGGGAAAAATTTCACGGTTGACCAAATTCGATGCGGATGATTGTTGATTGGGGGCTGAATCGAACGGGTACTGAGCTGACCAGCGGACTCGATCTAGGGCTTCAGGCCCGAAAACGGTGGAATGCGGATTCGGACGGAAACGTGCATGTTCGTGCAAGTTCATCAGTGATTTGGGTCCGAAACACGTGTCTGAATCAAGTGAGCGAACGTGCGGGAACATCGGATTGTCTGTGGATAATGATGAACAGTGGGGAAATGGATCGTGGTCTGGACTCGAACTAACCATCTATAGAAATGTGTGTGCACGCGCACACTCACACACTGTGTTTCACAAACACGTTTGGGGTCGGTTCTGAATCCTAGATGGAAATGGTCGCGTAATTAGTATAATTGTATGTGAATCAATGACAGCTTGATTGATTCATGGGAGAAAGAGATGAAGAAAAACGTGAATCGAATCATTTACAGCTCGACAACAACACCGTTCGGATAGGGGGTGGGTGGGTGAATAGGGTGTGATTTTCCAACCAATTCCTGATTGGTTCGTGAATGCGGTAGATCTCTGACCACAGAAAAGATACCAACCAATAGAATCCCGAATAATTTGATTATGAGGCTGTAGCATGTTTTTGATTGGTTGATCACAAGCGAGGGTGAGAGATAAAGTCGTGTGCGACGTGAACACGGAGGCGAGGCAGTGATCGATTGTGTGTGTGTGTGTGTGTGTATGTGGCGCTGGAATAGTAGTAGTGTTGATAGTGGCATTGTGCTTATCTACCTCTCTCCCTCCCCGGGCGCCGCATATACCCCTCACGCACGCTATAATAATAGTGCATTGCTCGCGGACTGAGAGCATCAATATTTGATGCCGATCAACCAATCAAATTACGGAAACAGTCGCTCCAAAAAGAATACCTGAATTTTGGTACACTGAAAGTCACTCCTGTGCTATCCCTTAGCACAGTAGAAATCGATTTTCGCAGAAGAAAAAGTGAAACTGTCTCAAGGGGATATTCCAGTTTTTTAGGGGGGGGGGAGGGGGGATTCAAATCAGTTATGTGAAAAGATCATTATTATTGGTGCGGTCTCCTAGCTCAGCTGGAACAGCGTGCGCTGTACAAAAGCGTAGGCGGTGTCCATGCGTGGGTTCGAATCCCACTGAGGCTACCGAACTTCTCACATTCCTGGCATAAAAAATTCAAATCAGCCAAACAACAATGTGTAGAAGGAACTGGTTTGGATTAATTAGCAAGAATCGGATGGGGGTAATTACACTCAAGCAAGCGGTTGCTTGAACAAATCAACCAGTTGTTCTCTGCATGCCGACTGTCAGAACTGTTGTGGAACCTTGGAGTTGTGTTGCCTCTCAATAAAGGGGTATAGTGATCTAAATTAATGACGTATTATATGGCGAATTCGTTGTGCGGATAAGGTGTAAGCTGAAAAGCTAAGAAGCACTGGACAACTAGTTCGATCTCATCTGCAGTGCGAATCCGTTGCCATTTTGTGAAAAAATATGACGTCTCGAGTTAAGCAGCGATTTGGATGTCAGATGATTTCCGTCCATTGAAATAAATTATGGGAGGCGGGAGGAGGTCATACACAGGCATTTATTTACAATAGTTTAAGTTAAAGTTTCATATTCAAAACCATCAACAATTCATGGAGCTCTGATGGAGTCATCGATTGGATGAATCTAAACATCACAATCTGAAGTGTCATTCGCACNGCACACTGTGATAATCGATCATCGTGTAGCTCAAGATTAACGACGTTGACTCCCGATTCGATTCGAGATCTGAGAGACACAGGCACTGCTGACGAGTTCCAATCAGGACGAAACAGCTGACCGGTGTTGTTTGTCAGACAGCAAAAAATAATACCATCGTATATAAATGTATTTATCTGGTGGGGAATAACTGATCTCCATAGGAGTGGAACTCTCACAGTGTCAACAGTGTCAACTTGTCAATCCTAGACACCCACCAACGACCATACTGAGTCTTTTGCAGGCGTTTCACAAACACATAGCCGGAATGTTGCAGTCTCGTCTGCAATCGGAAGACAATACAGCAGACCGATAATTGATAAATAGAATCACCGTTGAATGAAAAGCCAGGGTTCGTACATCGTTCATACGTTTCTCTGTGTGCGTGTGCTTGCGTGGTCGTCAACACTCACACTTCTCATTTACCAATAAATCAGC